GATTTTTTCCGTGAAGCAAATAAAATCTAGCAGTTTGTATCTATTTTGTAAAGCCATTCAACATCTGACCATTAAACGCGACGGTATTCAACACTCAAGCATTCTACACTAAGATATACAACGGTAATGCATTCAACATTCCATAACGACACCGTGCATTCAACATTACGTATTCAACGTCGTTTATCAACACCCCGCATTCAACATTTATGCAGTCAGCATTATATGCTGTAACAAACTTAAAATCAACACAATGTCACAGTTATTCAACACAATGCGACAGTTATTCAACATAATGTGACAGTTATTCAACATAATGTGACAGTTATTCAACACAATATGATGATTATTCAATATAATAAGATAGTTACTCAACATAATGTACCGATGACAGTTATTCAACATTATGTGGCAATTATTCAACATATTGTGACATTTATTCAACATAATGCGACAGTTTCTCAACACAATGTTCACTCAGTCGCTGATTTCAAGACTTCACAGATAATGTTAGCGATATCAGCCGTTATCAGTGACCTGTCAAGATGAAGGAAGCTGTTATCAGTGATGGGGAATTCGTTATCAGCGACACACGCGTCAGGCGGAAATGTCATTCTTATTTAGTTAATTTCTTTAATTATAATGTAAAATAATGTTGCAATCACCCTTTCAGAACCAAAATTAACAGTTCAGGTACGAATAGCATTAAATCATGCCTTCAGCACCCACTATAACTGTCATATCAGGTAAGAATACCATTACTACTACTTTTTCTGGCACCATTTCAAGGCAACAACATTAAATCTTACCTAAAAATTGTGTTATAATAAAAAATAGGAAAAGATTTTAGCGAATAAAATTATAAGAAAATTAATTAAATTTTTTAATAGGTATATAATATCAATATTAATGAAATGAAATTAATTAAAAGTATCATTAAAATTACTTAATTTTTTAATATATACGTATCAGTATCAGTAACTTTAATTAATAAATTAAATGAAATTAAATTAAAGTATCATTCTAATTACTTATTTTTTAATATATACGCATAAGTATCAGTAACTTCATTTAATCAATTAAATAAAATTAAATTAAATTAATCCAGAGTATTATTGGAATTACTTAATATTTAATATATACGAACTTCGGCTTGAGGCGCCACCGCCGCTCTCGACGTCGCGGGCCCGCTTCTCTGTAATGAATACATTATTTTAATAATCATTAAATGAGATTATTATACTAATACTAATAAAAATATTATTATAATATAATATTATGTATTTTTATTCGGTAATTAAAATCTTGTATCATGTTATTGATAATTAATTTTTTAATTATGATTTTCATAATTGATCACTGATTTTATAGTGACGATAAAGTTCTAAACAATAATTTTCTCTTGTATTATTTTTATTGTTAACAATATTATTATCATTATAATACTAGAGATAAACATGTTATTAATATGGACAATCATGTTGTTAATGTATTTAATGTGTTTATATTTTCTACAATTTCCCTAAAATGATGAAAACTCACGGATTTTTAATTTTGTAAGTGGTGTACCGGATTGAATATTATTTAATAATAATAATAATAATAATATTTAATAAGTACCGGAATTCGAATAAGATTTATTAATAATATTTAATAACTATTGAAATATTTGAATATTTCAATTGAATATTATTCAAGCGGATATTTGAAATATCTGATTTATGTCAATAATGAAAGTCAACATCAAAAAGATAATACGTAAAAATGAAGAACACGCATAATAAATGCAGGAAAAGTCAGCAAATTTATTATAAACTCATGAGAAACGCAGCATTATGGCTCCGTTTTAATTAAGGATTATTCACTATTTAAAAAATACCCTAACGAAGCTATAAAAATTACCCTAAGATAGCCATAAACTTACCCTAAAAAGGCAATACAAATAACCCTAAGAAAATCGTAAAAATTCCCTTAAAGTGCCCTCGAAAATTACTCTAGAAAAGTCATAAAAGATCCCTAAAGACGTCATAATAATTGCCCTAATATATGCAATAAAAATTACCCTAAGATGTCCTAAACTCCTAAAGTGCGCCCACCTGAGGAAGAGGCGCGGTTGCCCATGTTGACGTGGGAGAGTCAGGGTAAAATTTCAGGGTTCAATTTCATTGTTACCTTTTCGTATCATTCGTAAAAAGGGCAATTTATGAAATTATCGTAATGATTAATTCATAGCACTATTAGTTTAGTTAATTGTTGTTTAGGTTATTTTTTCTCGAATTGGATTTGGAACATTGAACCTAAACTTTTTCGATAATTTGATATTTTCCTGTTGTTGTTCGTATCGCAATAAAAAACTTATAATTATAAGTTTTTAATAATTTCTAATTTCTAATTAGACAAACAAAATTTACCTAATACGTATAAAATGAACTGAAAAAATAAAATCCGACGATAATTATCACATTTTCATTTTTTGATCATTCATTGTGAATGTTCCAGCGAACATTCACTCCGCTGTTCACGTGCGGGTCAATTTTACGCCCGGACTCGCGGCCGGTCTCCAAATTCAATGATCAAAGAATATCTCCTAAACTACGGAACGCAGTTCGATGAAACTTGGTACACGTATTCTTTAGGGCCTAACGGTGATGTTTAGCTCGTGAATTTCGCTTGTGTGAATTTCTACATTTCACTTTCATTCGTGAGTTATAGAGCAATATTATTGCTCTATAACTCACGAATGAAAGTGAAATGTAGAAATTCACACAAGCGAAATTCACGAGCTAAACATCACCGTTAGGCCCTAAAGAATACGTGTACCAAGTTTCATCGAACTGCGTTCAGTTGAGAGATATTCCCTGATCACTGAATTTGGAGACCGGCCGCGAGTCCGGGCGTAAAATTGTCCGACACGTCGGCTGTTCCTCATAATAATTGATATTATTCCAATTTAATTATTAATATGTATCGATTTTTAATCTTCTATTAAATATTAGTGAGCTAATAATGGGGCACCGCAAATTAACTACAAATTTCCTGTCTAATGAGTAAAGAGTTCCTAAAATATCTAACTTCTCAACTTTATTTTTAATTTTTAATTGTACAATTGCAATGCATAATAAATCATATTTAATTATTATTTACTATATAGTTAAAAAAAATATTTAAAAATTTGAAAAATTAAATTTACTATAAAATTAAATAAAAACGATCTACTACTAATTTTTGTATTCAAAGAGGATGTACAACAGCCTGCTGCTCTTCACTGGTGAATGCAACTGGTGAATGTCACTGAATGAATGCCACTTATGAATGCCAGCGATGAATAACGCTGATGAACCAGCGTCTGATAAACACTCTTGACTTCTTTTGATGATAAGAAATGTCATGATAAACAAGAAATTAAAAACTACGTCTCACAATCAGACGTAGCTTTGATATATATGATTTAATATAAAATGGTAATTAGCTTTTTATTAATCAGCTTCCGCTGGACTGTGATCAGACATTGAGGGTTTTGAATAAGAATTTTATTATAAATTTGACTATTTATTAAAAAATTTAATAATTATAATGTAATTTAGCAGCAATGGAAATGCAAGGAAACGTGTTAAAAATATTTATGACCGCAATATTGCACAATAATTTGTCATTGTAGTCCTAATATACTTTTAATATATTAATTAATATATTATTTTTTTTTAATTTTAATTTATTATTAAAATTAATGTATATATATTAATATTATAATATAATTATATATTATATTTTATATATATTATATTATTATAATACTTTTAATATATCAATTTAATATATTAATTTTCTTTTATTCAAGTTGAACTTGTGGGGTGACTACTGTGAAAAATAACATGGTAATTGTTCAAATAGCGCTGCACCTTGTGCTCTTGCATGGGTCATTCTGACTCAGTTTGGGGTGTATCATTGCTACGTCTGCACTCTACTCGTGATGTGGGCAAGAAAAAAGGGTGTCGGTAATTGGATCTTGACCAGTTTATTTTTTTCAGTGATGGGTTGGGCGGATGAGACGCTGTTAGGCAGATATCATCAAGACTGGAATAAATAAGTTATAAATGATTAGAATGATAATTATTAATAGTATTATGATAATGATTTCATGTTCCTATCATGCAATGGTTTCTAATTAATAAAAATAAATAATTAGAATAAGAAACTGAAAACAAATATTTAAAATAATAATTATTATTAATATTAAATAATCAATTTAATTAAGTGCGTTAATTTCTTCATACTTTTGGTTCCGTCTCTTATCACTTATCTAAATAATATGTATAATGTTTAACGAATGCTGAAGAGCATGATTTAATATTACACGAATTCTACATGAATTATAAACGCAAATTCCTTTTCTTTCTACCTGTGCAATAAAAGGTGTAAATTTTTTCATTTTTATCCAGACGTGGCCCAGAATTCGTCAAGAACCATACGACCATGCCTTAAGTACGTCATTACTTACATGGTTCAACATCAGGAACAGTGCGTGGTAAAATTTAACAAAATCCTACGGTATGAATGATAAAATGAAGTGTGTAAATGATGAGTTAAGGTATCATTGTTATCACTAAATACGTAACTACCACGAAGGTATAGCTAAAGTTTGTATATACTATATATTTCTCAAGATATTATCTCTGTATGCGGAATCTTCGTAAATTACTATAGTTATCCCCTTGTTTACAGTTAATTTAAATTTCTAATAACTGAGGTAATGTAAGACATTCAACATTTGGATTATTTAGTATTAATATGTACGTAAAGATTAGTTAATTGAAATAACGTCTTTTGTTGAATATTTTTTATCTAATGAATTCCCACTCTTCAGATTTGATCGAATTTATTATAGGTTTTATATTAAGGCCGGTTAATGGTATTTCTATAGGTGTTACTAACTGATCGATTGAGTAGCATGGCGAATAATTAATCGACTACGTGGCAAGTCGTCATAGTTCAAACTTTCGGTAGGAATAGCATTACAAAGCACGATTTTCCTAGGTTTGGAAGATATATTTCTAAATTGTTATTCTTCGTGCAGAATTCTTAAATTTTGACTGAATTATCTGAATTTTTTAAAATTTCTTTCCTGGGAGACAACGATCTTTTATTCGCCATGAGCTTCCTGTGCCCGGTGAGTAAACAATGAAAATTTGTTAATGTAAAAAATTCGATAAATAACATTGCATTTATTAAGTGTTAGATTTGCTAACCTTGTATGACATCCAAGTTAAGCATCTTTAATCTGGTAAATATATCAAATTTAATATATATTGTATAATAAATATTAATTTATACAATAATTAATATTTAATATATATTATATATAAATTATAATAAATTCTTCCATGCCTAACGCTGTATTTATTTTGGCTTAGAACCAAGGAACCTAAATTCATGAATTTAGGTTGAAATTTGTTGGCAGGTCAAGTGCAGGTGACACTCAGGGATAACAGCGAAAAATTGTCCAAGTAGCGATGCAGTTTCGCGCTTTTTGTGGGTCATCTTGACACAGTTTTGCCGGGTTAAAGAGCGTATCAGTGCCAATTTAAATAGAATTAAGTCTAACATAATTTAGTTATTCATTTCACGCATCTTAGTCGTTCTTTAGTTAACTTGAGGGTTGTTCTTGGTAGGATTAAGGATAACGGAAATGACGTTAAGGATTAATTAAGGAATGACGGGATTATGGATAATGAGAGGATAGAACGTGCCGGCAATATCGAAACTAACCTGCTGTGTTATCTCTAAGGTTAGGTAGGTATAGGTATAATTGGTCTCGGTATAGGTGTAATGGATATATGTATGATGGATGTAGGCACAATAGGTTTAGGTATAATGGTATGTGTATAATAGGTCTAGGTATAGGTGTAATCGATATTGATACAGTGGGTATAGGTGTAATGGATATAGATACAGTGGGTATAGGTGTAATGGATATAGTTACGATGGATATAGGTATAATAGGTATCTAGTAATACCTACATTAGTATAGCACCTAACACCAAAGATATACCAGCGCCCGCTAGTCAACATCCCTAAGCGCTATTTGCCGCTCGTCGCTACAAAGCTTATAGCTGGTCAGGACTGTGAGTTGTAGGGTTCGATACCCACATAACTGTGATACTGTTTCAATTTAATTAATTTTAAGATGTTCAGTTTGGTTTATAAAATATAAAATAGTTTATATTGAAGGCCAGCGACTTAAGTGCTGCTGGCGGCGTTAGTGACAGTAAAGGTTAGATAAGGAAGATAACAATAGTCTGATTTTATCTTCAGTTCAAAATGTCGGGAAAATCGATAAGGTTGAAATTTAGTAAATATCTAATATTCAAATGTATTAAATATTGCAATGTTTTTTACGCGTGGTTCTGTTTTGGTGGTGCGCGTGGGTTCTGTTTTGGTGGTGCGCGTGGTTCTGTTTTGGTGGTGCGCGTGGTTCTGTTTTGGTGGTGCGCGTGGGTTCTGTTTTGGTGGTGCGCGTGGTTCTGTTTTGGTGGTGCGCGTGGTTCTGTTTTGGTGGTGCGCGTGGNCGCGTGGAGGTTCTGTTTTGGTGGTGCGCGTGGAGGTTCTGTTTTGGTGGTGCGCGTGGAGGTTCTGTTTTGGTGGTGCGCGTGGAGGTTCTGTTTTGGTGGTGCGCGTGGAGGTTCTGTTTTGGTGGTGCGCGTGGAGGTTCTGTTTTGGTGGTGCGCGTGGAGGTTCTGTTTTGGTGGTGCGCGTGGAGGTTCTGTTTTGGTGGTGCGCGTGGAGGTTCTGTTTTGGTGGTGCGCGTGGAGGTTCTGTTTTGGTGGTGCGCGTGGAGGTTCTGTTTTGGTGGTGCGCGTGGAGGTTCTGTTTTGGTGGTGCGCGTGGAGGTTCTGTTTTGGTGGTGCGCGTGGAGGTTCTGTTTTGGTGGTGCGCGTGGAGGTTCTGTTTTGGTGGTGCGCGTGGAGGTTCTGTTTTGGTGGTGCGCGTGGAGGTTCTGTTTTGGTGGTGCGCGTGGAGGTTCTGTTTTGGTGGTGCGCGTGGAGGTTCTGTTTTGGTGGTGCGCGTGGAGGTTCTGTTTTGGTGGTGCGCGTGGAGGTTCTGTTTTGGTGGTGCGCGTGGAGGTTCTGTTTTGGTGGTGCGCGTGGAGGTTCTGTTTTGGTGGTGCGCGTGGAGGTTCTGTTTTGGTGGTGCGCGTGGAGGTTCTGTTTTGGTGGTGCGCGTGGAGGTTCTGTTTTGGTGGTGCGCGTGGAGGTTCTGTTTTGGTGGTGCGCGTGGAGGTTCTGTTTTGGTGGTGCGCGTGGAGGTTCTGTTTTGGTGGTGCGCGTGGAGGTTCTGTTTTGGTGGTGCGCGTGGAGGTTCTGTTTTGGTGGTGCGCGTGGAGGTTCTGTTTTGGTGGTGCGCGTGGAGGTTCTGTTTTGGTGGTGCGCGTGGAGGTTCTGTTTTGGTGGTGCGCGTGGAGGTTCTGTTTTGGTGGTGCGCGTGGAGGTTCTGTTTTGGTGGTGCGCGTGGAGGTTCTGTTTTGGTGGTGCGCGTGGAGGTTCTGTTTTGGTGGTGCGCGTGGAGGTTCTGTTTTGGTGGTGCGCGTGGAGGTTCTGTTTTGGTGGTGCGCGTGGAGGTTCTGTTTTGGTGGTGCGCGTGGAGGTTCTGTTTTGGTGGTGCGCGTGGAGGTTCTGTTTTGGTGGTGCGCGTGGAGGTTCTGTTTTGGTGGTGCGCGTGGAGGTTCTGTTTTGGTGGTGCGCGTGGAGGTTCTGTTTTGGTGGTGCGCGTGGAGGTTCTGTTTTTGGTGGTGCGCGTGGAGGTTCTGTTTTGGTGGTGCGCGTGGGTTCTGTTTTAGGCTTTGCGTGAATGTCCTGTTGTATATTCTGTATAATTAATCAATGTATATTTTTTTCATAAGTACATCTCAATATTCACCAACAATGACACGTCAAATAAAATGTTAATTACTAATAGACATGTTCATAACGGAACATTTATTTCACAAAATACTGGCATGTATTTTATAAGGAACCGTTGGAGAAAATTCACTTTCGTTACTTGGATTGGATTAGACGCTAAATTATTTACAGAAGAAAATTTCACGTTTAATAATCGCAAAAATTCTTCATTTTAACCACCATATTTTAGAATGAATTATCATCGCTTTCGTTATTCCATAATTTTACATCAATTTTCATTTTCTTCAGATTTGTACATGCTGTTACATTAGTTTAACATTCGCTTTTTACGTAGTTTTCAAAATTTTCTTATCAGTTCTGTTGAAAAATTAAGTTTTTGCGAAGGCTGGGTTCTCACTGATAGACGGAGAGAGTCGCGCCACATATCCTCCCCCTACCACCGCCTGACGGACACTGAGACAACCACCTGCCCTGACAATAGAGGCTCGCTAATTACATTGTATTTTTCAGATAAAGAAGGCGGCCGGTAAACAAGGTAAGCCTAGCCATTTAATTAGTCATTGTTAATTATGGACGAGTTAATTAATGTAGAATATTATTGGGTAGCTAAATAATTTGTAATTACATTAACGACTTCAATTCAATGGGTGAATTGATGACATAATTTCATATTATTTGGTGAATGTGCGGATTGGTAGCTGATATTAATATCGTCTTCGGCCACCAATTAAATGGTCATTGATTATATTCTACATGGATAATTATTTCAACTAGAATTTTTGTTTGCTTGAATATTCCGGAAATTGATTACAAGTTGTAATATTTGTCATTTTACCTCCAAAACCACGATTTTAGAGCACAGTCTCGCCACTTTATGGTGAGTTTTGTATGAAGTTAAGACTTACTTTCATGTTGTAAATCATGAATGTGAAAGTTTTCTTTGTAAAAGGATTGCACGTATACACCTCATTCTCGCGTGTGGTTATTTTGAATCCGCAGATTCGGATGAAAGTGACATCGGAATGAGTCCCAGAACTTCGCCGGTGCGAAACCAGAATTCAGGCAAAAAATCCCCTGGTAAAACGAAGACGAAATCCTTTGACGATCCAAAAAACCTCCTTGGCCAATTAGGGTCGGACCTCGCAGAAGGTACTTGCCCGAAAGCTAATCCAAAATTTGAGGCTGACAAAGGTAATCTGAAACCAGTCCTCAATTGCAGTTTCGAGATGGAAACCTATTCGAAGGAGCCCAGGAGAATTGGACTTCGTTCAAAACCCATGGATGAATCTTCAAGCGAAGCCGAAACTAGTACGGAAGTACAACTCTTACCTTCCATAAGCAGCTTGTTAAGGCTGAATGTTGAAAGACAGCCTCGATCGCGCAGTGAGGAACGTAAGAAGAAAACTTTCTTCTCCGCCAAAGCGTCGTGTATCGCAGGATCTTCCACCTCCCGAAGTCTGGAGAGTTTAAATTTTGAGCAGCCAAAATCGGTTTTGAAAAAGACCGTTGACGGCAGACGGTCGGTTAAGTTTCCAAGGGTTGATTCAGGATCATTGCGGAATCTAAGGCGACAGGAAAGATCACACCATGTGCAGTCTACGAGTGCAGTTAAACGTTTGAAAATGCCTGAACCGCGTGTGAGTGCAGCTTCAATTAATTTTGCCATATCCATGCCAGATCAATCATCCGACTCTTCTGTTAAGCAGAAGATTTTAACAGATGCTTCATCCCAATTGTCGTCTGGTCAATTTGGTGGAGGTAATGCGGCTGGCATGATCGTGCAAACTAAGTCATCGTCAATGGACTCCCGAATTGAAAGTAGAAGCCAGGATTCCTCTTCAACCGAGTACAGCACCACTTCCGCATGTTCAAATCCAGTCCGAAATTCTACTCCTGTCGATAGGATGGAACGACTTCAACTGTCCGAAGGCACGAAAGGCAGAACAGACGGAACTCGCCAACGAACATTGAGCTTTGTGGAAAGTTGTACCAAGTCAGATTTTCTTCCAAGTATATCGTCAGTTGGATGCAATTTTGGTCTTTTGGAGTCCAATGTGGACAGTCCTCTTCCAACCGATCCAGTTCCAGGCACGAGATTAGATTCTACCGGCAAAACGACGACGTCGAGCATGGGAAAATCACGCCGGATATCTATTTACAGCTCGCAATGTTCGAAGGTATCGGCCTTAGGTTACGTTCTTTGGAAATCCATGGATGATTTGTACATGAAAAACGAACTTTCAGAACTCGATTGCTCATTGAGTAGGACTAGCTCTTCTGATGATATTGAGTCCAACCGAGATATAGAATCTTCAGTATCAGACTGTAACTCTTCGTATTTTGAGGGCGGAAAATTCATTTCTTGCCAAGGGTATGGTGAATATGCATTAGAACCATCAGGAACCTGCGACATCATGGACCGTCTCGCCTGCCCACGAAAAGATTGTACAGACTTTTGTTTACCTAGTCCTGGTGTTATAAGTCCGTCTTGCCTGTCTTATAGTCAATCAGTAGTTCTAATGAACAAATTGGAATGGCTTTCATTTCTCGGTGGTTGTTCACCTGCGGATGTCCAACATATTACTTCAGAAACTCCGCCACCTAGTCCACCTTACCCAGAGTCGAACTCGAACAAGAATAGAGTGCTGGACGCTTTGGAAGAGTTAATTTCTGAACATCCAATTGATTACAACCGAAAACACTGCAAAAGACTCACCAGAACGAGAAAACGAACAGCTGTAACACCAGAACACGACGATGTCAACAAGATCGACAACGGCAACCAAGTTGTCCAACCAAGTAGTTCTTCCAAAGAAGTTGACTCGGGCATTGCCAATCGTTCTGTTAAATCCCAAGGAGTCCCAATTCACATGACGGGATCAAAGTTTCCTAGGATCGTCGGGCTAGAAAACCGTAGCAAAACCACTTGTTATTTGAACGCGGGACTGCAGTTGCTGGGCGTGGACGAAACTCTCTGCTGGGACATCGGGAGACGAGTGCAGGACCTGGCATCCTGCGGCAAGACGGAGAAGGATCTGCCTGCTACGAAGGTTTTGTGAGTAATCCATGCGGTGCTCGGTCCTTTTGTGCGATGTTGCAGATGAGCATTTACGGTATATTAGCTCCTTTCTGGGATATATACATGACCCGTCCTTGGATATGTGTTCCGTCCTCGGATGTGTGTTCCGTCCTTGGATATGTGTTCCGTCCTTGGATACGTGTTCCGTCCTTGGATATGTGTTCCGTCCTTGGATATGTGTTCAGTCCTTGGATATGTGTTCCGTCCATGGATGTGTTCCGTCCTTGGATATGTGTTCCGTCCTTGGATATGTGTTCCGTCCTTGGATATGTGTTCCGTCCTTGGATATGTGTTCCGTCCTTGGATATGGTGTTCCGTCCTTGGATATGGTGTTCCGTCCTTGGATATATGTTCCGTCCTTGGATATGTGTTCCGTCCTTGGATATATATGACCTTAGCCCTTCACTCTGACCCTTCACTTTAACCCGTCATCATAACCCCCTTTCACTGTAACCCCCTTTCACTTTAACCCCTTTCACTTTAACCCCCTTTCACTTTAACCCCCTTTCACTTTAACACCCCTTTCACTTTAACACCCCTTTCACTTTAACACCCTTTTCACTTTAACACCCCTTTCACTTTAACACCCCTTTCACTTTAACACCCCTTTCACTTTAACACCCCTTTCCCTTTAACACCCCTTTCACTTTAACACCCATTTCAATTTAACACACCTTTCACTTTAACACCCCTTTCACTTTAACACCTGTCTCTTATACACATCTCGTGGGTTCTGTTTTGGTGGTGCGCGTGGGTTCTGTTTTGGTGGTGCGCGTGGAGGTTCTGTTTTGGTGGTGCGCGTGGAGGTTCTGTTTTGGTGGTGCGCGTGGAGGTTCTGTTTTGGTGGTGCGCGTGGAGGTTCTGTTTTGGTGGTGCGCGTGGAGGTTCTGTTTTGGTGGTGCGCGTGGAGGTTCTGTTTTGGTGGTGCGCGTGGAGGTTCTGTTTTGGTGGTGCGCGTGGAGGTTCTGTTTTGGTGGTGCNTTTGAATTGCATTAAATCTGAATTGCAGGTGAATATTTTTCACTTATTTGAATTGCATTAAATCTGAATTGCAGGTGAATATTTTTCACTTATTTGAATTGCATTAAATCTGAATTGCAGGTGAATATTTTTCATTTATTTGAATTGCATTAAATCTGAATTGCAGGTGAATATTTTTTATTTTTGTTTCGTGTGTTTGTTTAGAATTATAATTTATAATTAATTGAAGTTTAAGTTGAAGAAATATCAATCCTCCTATTTTAGTATATTTATCAAGTTGTAATTTGTTTGTTATATGTAATTAGGTTTATTTAAAATGTGATAAAAATTGCATTGCATTTCATTTTTATACATAACAGCCTAGTATCGTTATTTACAAATCGATTACAAATAAAAATAATTACTTGCTATTATATTAATTTATCAATTAATCAAAACAAATTTTCTCTCAAACATTTGATCAACTCCATAATTATAGATGAATTAATTATAATTAATAATATTTATTAATTTATTTATAGCTCGAAAACGCCAGCGATCCCATCACTGAGAACTTCGGAGTGGAACAACTACACATCAGGAACAGTGAGTGTCACCCGTGCCCTTATGCCTCACCCATGCCCTCATGCCTCACCCATGCCCTCGTGCCTCACCCATGCCCTCTGAGGACATGAAGGTGGCCACAGACCTGATGGTCCGCGCCGCGGTCTCCTCGTCTACCCTCACCTTCGACTCCCTCTTGTCTGCGCACACGGCCCCGCAGACTGCAGACGAGGCCCAGCAGACGGCAGGCGAGGGCTGCAGAGTGCAGACTCTGCTGCACCGTCTGCCTCGCCTGCTGCTCCTGCAGCTGCAGATGTTCAGACAGACGACAGACGGGAAAGGGGCTGTCGAGAAAGCCTGTCTACCCGTCCAGCTCGATGATGTCTTAAACATCAGAAAATGTGAGGGTAACTCGTGTATTGTTTTGAGATGCACTACAAGAAATGAGTGGTAGTTAGTCTGAATAGCGAATAACTTTTTTGGGTCATCCACTGCAACGTGTTGAAAATGTCACTATTTTCGGACCTCTTTTAGGACAATATAACGGTTATTTTCCGAGAGCTCTTGCCATTTCATGCTTGCTTGTTGTTCATTGTAATTTTTTGGCTCTCACAATCCATTGATGACGTGAAAATAGTAAGAAATTTAACGTATTTTCCGCTCGCGTTGACTGCTTAATTTCTCTCTGTGTCCACAGCGTGGCTGAGTGAGAAGCTCCGTCGGGACCTCACCTCCGCCCCCCACGGGGTGGCCGCCCCCCGTACTCCTAACACTGAAGGTACGGCGGCTAACACCGCCACCGCCACCGCCACCTCCGCCACGGACCACGCGTTATCCTACGAGTTGGTGGCGGTGGTGTTCCACGTGGGCACGTCCATGCACGCGGGCCACTACCGCTGCGCGGTGCTCGCGTCCGACGACCGCGGCGTGGCCACGTGGTGCCACCGCCACCACTGCCACCACCTCCGCCACCTCCCCCCCCACCACCACCACCGCCAAGGACCACGCGTTATCCTACGAGTTGGTGGCGGTGGTGTTCCACGTGGGCACGTCTATGCACGCGGGCCACTACCGGTGCGCGGTGCTCGCCTCCGACGACCGCGGCGTGGCCACGTGGTGCCTCTGCGACGATGACGTCATCACGGTCTACCGGGACCTGCGCAGCCTTAAGAGGTACACTCGTATAAATATTGTTATAGTAAAATTGATTTTATATTATTATAGATAAGATGACACTTAAATTATAACTAAAATGTAAATATATTGAAATAATTTCATTGTAATACCGGGACCTGCGCAGCCTTGAGAGGTACACTCTAATAAAAATTATTATTATAGTATGATTGACTTTGTATAATTATAGATAAGATGACACTTAAATTATAACTAAAATGTAAATATATCGAAATAATTTCATTGGAATGACCGGGAGCTCCGCAGCCATAAGAGGTACCCTCTAATAAATATTATAATTATAGTATAATTGATTTTGTGTTATTATAGATAAGATGAGAAACTGAAATTATAACTAAAATGTAAATATATTGAAATAATTTCATTGTAATGACCAGGATCTCAGCAGCCTTAAGAGGTACACTCTAATAAATATAATAATAGGATAATTCTAGTATAATTATGGGCAAGATGGAAGAATTATTCTAATTTAAATATATTGTAATAATTTCATTGGAATGCTCTCAATAGGTCACACTCGATAAACTGTTCTAGTATAATTAATTTTATATATTTATAGACAAGATGAGAAACTTGAATTATAACTAAAAGTTAATATATGAAAATATCATTGGAAGCTAAACTAGAGGTCACAGTTAAATAATTACCATTATTAAAGTATAATTTTAGTATAATTATAGTTATAGACAAGATGAAGGAATTGAATTATAAGCAAAATTTAAATATATTGAGATAATTTCATCGGAATGTAATCAAGAGGTCCCACAAAAATTTGTCATTTTGGAGACACATAATTATAGATAACGGGATAGATGAAAATTAGGATATTATATATAAATATTTGTATGGTTGTCTTTTCCAGTGACGACGAAACAGAGACTCCATACCTCCTGCTATTCAGAAGAATGGACGCTAAAGATACCCTTCACCGAAATGCGTGTCAGATGACGGAAGAGATTACAAGCTCTATAGTGTCGAGTCAAGATACAGTTTTGTGTAAATGCCCTTCCTCGGAAAATCCTAATCAGGAACCCCAGAGATTTGAGAACCAAATGGATGAAGTGGAGGAAAAGATAAATTGGATTTCATTGCATCGCAATTCACCGATTCGCAGCGAAGGGATGTTTGAGTCAGACGACTGCCCTCCCCGCGCAAGAATCATAACGATGCGGATGGGAAACGAGTACACGGCTTGTACAGAAATGTTCAACGCAGATTTCGGCTTTTATATGCCCATGCCTTGTGACCATGATGGGTCGACATCCGGGACATCCGGGCAAATGTATGAAACTGATGAATCGTTATGCGGAAGTGATGAAACCGCCTATTCAGATGAAGGAACCGTAGATGAAGGTGAATCTTTTCTCTACGAAGGAGACTCCATAACTGAAGTCGATGAAGAAATTGTCCTGGAAAATGGATCAATAATGAGATGGACCTGTCTCTTATACACATCTAGATGTGTATAAGAGACAGACCTCCAACCNGAGGCCGACGAGTCCGCGGCTGTTGTTGCCGAGGCCGACGAGTCCGCGGCTGTTGTTGCCGAGGCCGACGAGTCCGCGGCTGTTGTTGCCGAGGCCGACGAGTCCGCGGCTGTTGTTGCCGAGGCCGACGAGTCCGCGGCTGTTGTTGCCGAGGCCGACGAGTCCGCGGCTGTTGTTGCCGAGGCCGACGAGTCCGCGGCTGTTGTTGCCGAGGCCGACGAGTCCGCGGCTGTTGTTGCCGAGGCCGACGAGTCCGCGGCTGTTGTTGCCGAGGCCGACGAGTCCGCGGCTGTTGTTGCCGAGGCCGACGAGTCCGCGGCTGTTGTTGCCGAGGCCGACGAGTCCGCGGCTGTTGTTGCCGAGGCCGACGAGTCCGCGGCTGTTGTTGCCGAGGCCGACGAGTCCGCGGCTGTTGTTGCCGAGGCCGACGAGTCCGCGGCTGTTGTTGCCGAGGCCGACGAGTCCGCGGCTGTTGTTGCCGAGGCCGACGAGTCGGCGGCTGTTGTTGCCAATGCCGACGAGTCTGTGGCGGCTGTTGTTGCCAATGAATGGCCCGGCGCCCCCAGATCTTCAGTAAAGATTCGTCGAAGTTTTGGGACCATAACCCCTTGTTTTGGCTGGGGGTTCGGTGTAGTCCATATCTCTCCTTGTGGGTCCGACGCAGAGAGCGAGACCGAATCTGAGGAATGGACCGATGATGGTGACTGGACTACCGATGATGGTGGTGACGATTTATGATGAAGAGGATAATCACAATGTGTCACCTACTGAAACTGGACAGAAAAGGCATGCAACATTTGAAAGAAATGACAAATTTTCTACTGGCTTCTATAGCGTGAAAAAACGAAATTTTAATCGCCAAGAGGGTGATTCAAAAATTCTATTTGTTTTTCATTCAGAGACTGCCATTTTCTTACGGACTTCGACTAGCGTCATTTGTTTTGGAATTCATCGATATATTTGCTCGGACTCGACAATATTCATGCGAGGAACTTCACCTAATTTTAATTGAATAAATGAATGTTATCTGATTTTGACCGCCTTCAGTACAATCTATTTTATTTTGCCTGACAGTATTTGTAACTTAGTGTGTAAGCCTTTGAATTATTTGTTGGATATTTTAATTATATTGACGTATGATAAATAAAATATGGATTATATTTCGTATCATGTCCCCATACGCGATGATTTTATTGTACAAATATCCAAGAGATAATAAATCCTACACTAAGAACCTGCTTGTTTTAATAAAAGTTTCGATTACTTTCTTGAAAGCGAACCTCCCTCTCTGCACCTAGGTTACTAATTCGTGTAAATCTTTGATCCCGCTGCTAATTTGATAATTAAAATGTATATATAATATCGCAATATATCACTATACAGTATATCATCACTATCACTATATAGTACTACAATTACTAAAGTGCTTATAGTAATTATTCGATAATTATAAAGTAATTATAGTGATGTAATTAATAAATGAGTTTTCGAATTTCTCTCAATCTATCGAAAAAGCACTTGATTGGCAATATTAGTAGCGAGAAATGTTAGCAATCAGTTGATGAATAATCCTCTTGATTTCTGTTTCTTGAACGTTCTTTTCGAAATTATTACTTTGAAAAGTACAATTCTTTGGCGCCTGAGTGACATATTTCAGCGATTGAACTGATGGTGATTGCGTCATTTTACGCCGGTTTGCAAAATGCGATGGAAAGAGAAGCAAGTATCGCCTTGCGAAATATATTTTAGTCGTAGGATTTTAATAGACAACGCAATATGATAAAAATTTACATGTCAAAATTGAAGATGAATTTGCGTACGAAGTTCAGCAAGTCTGACCTACCTAACCATGTAGGTATAGATTAAACTATTTAGCTCATTTACATTGAAAAAAGGCTATTCTCAGAATTGATAAAAATAACTTTCTGAAATATCTAACTGACGTAATGAACAATAATAAATAATTGAACGAAATTGACACACGATAATAATATAAACGCAGTGCTCTAACGGGTAAGTCTTTAATATAAAAAATTAAGAGATATCCAAGGAAACGCTCCTTCACGATAATGTTACCCAAGACGATTATGAATGAAGGTCGAGGTCACGTCAAAATCATTGAAAATAAAAAATATCAAGCGTCTTAAAACCTAATGCATTACAAGTTGTTAAGCACATGTGCATCTCCAAGGGGAGCGTCTGCCCCAAATTTTATCTTGGTTATTTACGGACGGATCACTTTGAAACTTGGTACGTACATGTAAAACATAATTCTAAGATTTTTTGTTCATGTAAATTTTTCGAAAAAAATGAAAGAAAACGTGAAATTCTTAGAAAACGGCCAAAAAGTGGGTACCGTAGAATAGCTATCTCCTCCTATGATTTTCAAGTTACAACATCGAAACACATATCATTCGATGCGTAAAGACCATATCTATAATTCGTAGTACGCGTTTTTTTTAAATCCTAATTTTTGTGGGTGTGGGGGCATTTTTCGTAAATTTTTCGGAAATTTTTCGATTTTACCCCCCGCCACCTCCCTTTTTGCAGAATAAAATCCAAACTGTGACGAAATTAGAAAAACGCGTACTACGAATCGTAGATCTTTCTTTTGCAAATCAAACGGTATATGTCTCATTGTTGTAGCTTTAAAACTGTAGGAGGAGATTGGTTTGCAGTGGCAATAAGTTAACTTTTCAGTAGAGCCCGACAAAGTCGCGCGCGCCTCGAAATAGACATTCAAGGGCGCAAGGTTGCTAACTAGACGATACTGGAGCTCAATATCTGTCCAGGTTGGTGCGAACGACGGCACGAGAACCATCCCATATGACTGCAGGCGGATAACTGAAGCACAGCGTGTTCAGACTAGCTATTTAAGTATACTGCCGCTAATTTCGGCCCATCTTAAATGTTAAAGAGCTCCACCACCCCTAACCCTTTCGCGATCTATTGTGAACGCATAAATATACGTACAGAGATAGTTTTGGTACCGTTGGGTAGGTCAGAATGGCAGCTTTAAGATGAGTATAAAAACCGAAAAAGTCAAAATTTTCGATTTTAGGGTAGACGCTCACCTTAATTCAAATATGTTGCTTATTGAACAATGATTCAGAATAAGGCAGGAGATGGTCGTTAGATTAGGAGCTATTAACAAGTTATAATATAAATATTTTCAATATAATTAATGGATTCCCAAATTTTTTTTATCCGGTATGGCTTTATTTATTCAAGTAAATGACCAACTGCAATTTTAATGGAAATAAATTAGTTATAGCAACTAAGATGAATCTGATAACTTTCTACGGATTTGTCTTAGAAAACGATTTGGAGCAGAAACTTAAATAAATATCATTACTGACCTTGTCAGTGGCAGGTGTCAACCTCGATTGCTTCAAATTACCAATTTTTATCATGACTGTAGAATAATTGAAATTACCCAAATTCACCTGAACAATTTCATATAACATTCAAGACGTCATTGCTTGTAATCCTGCAGCAATCGCTTCCAATCTATCAGCTACAATCTTCACTACAATAACAATCTCCGCGAGTGCCGCAGCAATCTCTATCATTGTCGCCTTGTGGCCTGAGAGGGTTACTGCGAGACTGTCTTCTCGTAATTTTTCAGAAACAGACTCAAATCTTCTAGCAATCACTCTCAGCTTTATAGCAACCGTCATCAGTGTTTTATTCATTGACGTCAATCCTTGTTTGATAGACATCAATCCTGCAATGATCGACATCAATCCCGCCAGGATTGTCAACGAAATATTAGTGATTATCAAGAACTGGCCAGTGATATTTGTCAATCCTTCTGTGACAGCCATCAATCCTGCACAGATTGCATAGGCTTTCGCTCCCATTACTATCGATTTTGTATTAAATATCAACGATAATTTTTCATTAGACTTTAAACTTGCAGCGATAACCATCAACCCTGCAATCAAGATCATCAATCTTGCATCGGCCTCCATCACTGCTAAACTGAGGGCAACCAACTCCTAAGCGATCGTCACCACGAGAAGAGGTGACAATCGCCTCCACCCCACACATCCTGCAACAACCATCATCCATCCTACATGGAACATCACACATCCTCCATGGATCATGACCCGTCATCCAAAAGTCACCACCCATCCTCCAGCAATCGCAACCAATCCCATCCAGAAAGCAAAGATGCCGTCTGCAATTATAATTAATCCACCTTCATTTACCATCAAATTCGCTCCGACTGTCATCAGTCTTGTCACTAGAACCACCAATCCGGCAACGACCAGCATCAATCTTGCGTCGGCCTGCATCAGTGCTACTGGGAAGGCCACCAATCCTGCAGCGATCGACACCCATCCTCCAGCAACCGCCACCAAACCTGCAGCAAACCCTGATTTACTAGGGAACATTTAAATAATTCTAAGAATTTTTCAACTACATTTGAAGGTGATATGGAGGTAATAGTCTCAACATTGTGTCCATGTCGGTGTAATTATAAGTGAGCTGCAAAGGTTGACAAAAGATACTGGCTCGACAGAGACGCAGAGACGATACAGGCGCCCTGTAGAATTGGAGGAAGCAGTGTAGGGATGGAGGCAGCAGTAAGCCAGAATCAGTGTGTGAAAATCACTCTAGAAATAAAAACAATGAATGTGTTTTCGCACTGGATATATATAGATGCAGAGCAGAAAAATACGCAGCGTGAGAAAAAAGTATGTGCATGACTCTTCCTGTGAGCAGAACGTGGTAGACGCTCATTATATCAAACAAGCTTTTACAATTACCGTTTGTCAAATTCACAAGGCATGGCGAGTTACGTTCATGCTTCAATAATGCTGCAATCGAAGCACGATTATAATGATTTACATTAATCTTAAGTAAAATATAAGATATTTAAAAACTTTACAATTGTAATTTGGCTGAACAACTTCACACACCTTCATGTGCCATCACCAGACGCTGGACTTCTAAACTGAGCTTCGGCTGGCTAGCACTGCTGAGGTTCATCTTACTAGATTGTAAACCTAGTAACATCTTTGAAGTCAACAACCCGTACCTAAATGCAGCCTTTGAAATCAAGAAGGCTCAACTAAAGAAGCTAAACACAAGTATATCTAACAAGGAAGAATGTTTTTTTTTAGTTCTAGCGGCATTTTCGCTTCTAATTCTCATCTAGCGATGACACAATTTATACGTACGCTGAAATGAATTTTAATCATATTTATTTATGTTAATACTAGTTATATTAGACGGTAATTGGAACTATTCACGAACTTTCTGAGAAATTTTCCTTATCAAATAATCCATGAGACCTCACGCTCTATAATTTCAAAGAATACTTTTATCTAATCGATATAATTGTGGCATTTATAAATCACGCGCTTTATATTGCGCAGATTTACTTCAGAATTCTTGAATATGATCCCCATCCAGTGAGCCGCTGATAGCTCTGATAACTACAGTTAAAGCCCTGATAAGTCTGCATACTGATGATTAAGTCCTTTTCATCACCAAGTTAAAGCTGCATGACATAAACAATTTGCAAGTTTCTGTCATTGATTTATGAAATATTAGAACCCAATATTTAGGCCGAAGCTCAGTTCAGAAGTCCCACGTCCGGCGATGGCACATGAAGGTGCGTGAAGTTGTTCAGCCAAATGACAATTGCGGAGATTTTAAAGTATCTTATTTTTTAATCAAGATAAGTGTGGATCATTATAGTCGTGGTTAGATGGCAACATTATTGA